AAAATTTTAACTTACAAAAATGAAAAATTGATTTTTGGTAAATCTCGAAATTCTTGTAAACATTCAATTGTTCCTGATTGTTTAATTTGTGCTTTTGGATCAATTGTTGGTTTTATTGGTTCAAGATTAAGTCGTAATTCTAATTAAAAACAAAAAAAGAAATTTCATTTATGCGAGGACACATTTTTAGATATGAAGTAACGATGAATACTATTGATTATAGAAAATTGAAGAATACCTATAACTATACTGAATTGAGTCCTGAAAAAGATTGCATAAGTTTGTCTAAGAACATCTTAGGAATTACAATATCTATAAGTACCATATATATCTTTCAAGGATTATAATCAGTACATGAACCTTCAAAACATCAAAATTTGAGAAAAACTTGAAAATTCCCTTTACCTGATTCTAATTCATCCAATAATGTAATATTAGTTGAAATATTTGTTAAATTAAAATTTGTTTTATTACCATAATAAAATTCTACACGTAAAATATGTTTTGTTGCTTCACCTTTGATACCGATTTGTAAAAGATCATTTTCAAAAATAATATCACTATTTTTAAATAAGAATTTCTTTGATGATTGTATTGTTGTTTCTGTTGTTGTTATTGTTGATGGAAGTGAATAAGATGTTGATTCACCAAAATGAGTATTGGATTCAATTGTATCAAATGAAACAAGAAGTCCATTTTGTTGTTGTTGTTGTTGTTGTTGTTGATTAAGATGGATCTAAAATTAAAACAAATTAAAAAAAAAAAATTAATTCTTAAAATTTTATTTACAGCTGTTTCAGCAAATTTAGGAACATCTTCTGTATGTGTCGTCGTTGTTGTTACTGATGGTTCACTATTATTTTCAGCTTCCATTAATGGTTTCTTTTGTTTAAGACGAACAAGTAATGGTGATTGCTTTTCTGGATAAGGTGGCATGATTTCCAATACAGTAGCTAATACTGTTGGACTACATATTTCACTTAATCTAAGATATTCAATTGCTCGTTGTTGAATTTCAACATCTGAACTACGATAATTTGAATCATGACGAAGAACCTAAATGAATCATAAGAAAAAAAAAACACATGAGAGCTAATTAAATCCAAAATTCCTTGATCGTTGATTTTAACTTTATGAAGGAACATTTTCAATAGATCAGTCGCTTTTGTTAACAATAGTTACTGGATTATTGATTATCGAGCATGTTGATTTCTAATATGACCCCTAAGTCTTCATCTATGAGTTTTTAGACTGACAAAATTTTTTGTTTGATCCGTTCGGATTATTGGACATATCGAATTGTCTAGATTTTTAGAAAACCAGCATATAGTGACCTAAGAGGAATTCTTATGGTTAATGACCCATAATTTAGTAGCTTTTCGTGAAAAAAAAGTTGATCAGTTGAAAAGGTTTCCTCATTAGAGAATAGAACGCCTAATGAGCTGGGCTACTTCGATTTTGAGATGGGCTACGAGCTGTGACCCATGGGTTGAATCTTAAACAAAATACAAAATTTTCAAAAGATGCCATAACTTATCGCTGTAAAGTTTCTTCAAAATAAGTTTTAAACGAGATTTTTTTGGTTTCCGGCTAGGTCCTAGCAACGTGGAAAGGCACGTCAGTAATAATAGTACCAGGATCATTCTGGAACGTTCTAGAATCTTCCAAAGTATTCTATGAATCTACAATTTCTACTATAGATTGTTTTGATAATTAATACAACGAAAAGATCTTATTGTGGATGTCAATCACTAGAGCAGTAGTGTGATTGACGTAACAGAGCCAGAATAGGACGGACATAGAACTAATCTAATTCCCAGTTTAGGCAAAACCCAATAGTATATGTCAAAAATTCCTCCAGAGAAACGATGGCGTGCTCAAAAGTTTACTATATGAATAAATTAATGTCTATAGCAGACTAGTATGGTAGTTCAGACAATGAAACGAACAATAAAATAATATTTGTCACGCCTTATGGGATATATTGTATATATTATCATTAAGAGAAAAGAAGTAATATATCTGACAATACAACTAAGTTTTTTCAGTATAACTATGCAAAATGAATCTAATAAATTGTTCTGTATGTAAATATTTACGAAATAAATAAATTATTTTAACCTCTCGGACAATATACCATTAATTTATAACAGTCAGAGTGTGTAAGCTTCATATTTTGAGCCTTCATGGGAACGCATTGAAAAGTTTTATTCAATTAGAATGGCGTTGCCTTATTCTTCATTTTCGTCATCATCAATTATCTTGTCTAGTTCTAATTCAATTTCTACTCTGTTGATCGGTTTGATTATCAATATTGATTTCATCTACGCTCTTTTCTTTTTCTTTTTGATCTACTTTTATTGAGAGAAGTCGTTCAATGTGATGTAATTTATGGAATAAAAGATGAGTCAATGACAATTACAAATACGATAAGCTAATCATATTTGGAAAGAATATTTAATTAGATCGAAGACCCATGAATCGACTTTTCTAGATCTAGTTCAATCTATTAGAAGTTCTGTTATAGAACTTAACAAGAATTTTTAAAGTCATAACTTTTTTTTTGTTTATTGAAACACCTAACTTGTCACTTACATCTTGAATATGTTGTTTGATTTCTGGAAATAAATTAATAAATTTCATATAAGTCGATAAAAGCAAAGATCGAGTTGTTGGTGAACATAGATGATATTTTGAATGAAGTAAATCAAATTGAATCATTGGTCTATTTAAGAAATAAAAAAAATCATTAATTTTTTTTTTGTTCTCTACAACTTACGTTGATCGTAGATCAAGTGCAATTAAATTTCCATATTCGCCAAGAATATATCCAGCTACTTTAATCATATTTTCATGACAAGCTGGTGCTTGTAATGCTTCAAATGCTATTTTAGCTGCATAGCTTTGTACATCACTTCGATTAACAACAACTTGTATAACACGATACCAAACCTAATTGAAAATTTTTAATAATAAATATTAAAAAAAAATGAAATATTACTTCTTCCGAAACAAAATCTCCAGCAATACGAATTAATTTAAGCATTATATCTAAATACCATTTATAATCAACAGCATATTTTTCACTTAGTATAGCAATTTTAAGAACCTAAAAAAAAATATATTTCTTTAAAATAAATAAATAAAATAATGTTAACCATTTCTTCTCGAATTGTATAATCAGCTGTTTCAAGATATGTTAACATTTCCTGTACGATATCTTCAGCATTCGATCGATCACACATTGCATAGAGAAGATCGACAGCACGTTGACGAACACTAACATCACGTTCACTCTAAATCAATCGAAAGAAATAATGAAATTAAATTCTTTTTTTTTTATTCTTAGTTTGCTTTGCGTGAAGTACGTTCTAAAGGGGGTGTTGAATAAATATGGGGTAGAAATTTAGACCATCCCCACCTCCTCCATAGACACTTTAGCAACAGTCCCACTCCCCGTATCATAAATTGTATATCAATAACGTTTCATTATAATATATGAACTACTTACTTATTGCATTGCTTGAAGATTAAGTAAAATGATGATGAAGAAATGTGCATCCAAAATAGATAGAACATAAACAATCTTACTGTGATGAGCAACAGCAGCTACATCGTGTTT